TGGCGGAACCACTGAGCTAAATCCCTGGGCCAAGTTATATTGAGTTTTTATTATCTTGTATAAATATTAGACTGGGAAGTAGCTTTTCGTCTCCTTCGCTCAAGGGTAGGATTATTGGAACAGTATACCTTCTGAGACTAGCTTCTAAAAAAATGGAGGATAGCTGATCTAATTTTTATTTATTTCATTATTTTAATTAAAATCCAGCAAATTTACTGTCTAGTAACTGCAGTTCTGTTGATTGTGTGTATATATGTATTTAAAGAGATTTCCTTTTCTCTTTTAAGAAACCAGAAAAGAAGAGAGCAGGTAATTTAAGAGGGTTTGAGAGGAAGTTTAGAAAAATGAATTGACCTTTTTTTGCATTTTTTGAGACAGGGTCTCACTTAGGTAGTTCATGCTGGCCTTGAACTCACTATGTAGCCCAGGCTGGCCTTGAACTTGCAGCAGTCTTCCTGCCTTAGCCTCCTGAGTGCTGGGATTACAGGTGTGCACTGCCTCCTCTGGTGCTCAGCCCTGTTGATAAGGTGCAGTATAGTAATGCTGGTCTGCTTCAAACTGTGGTTTTCATTAGTTAGATTCATATTTTTTAGATTTTGCTTATAAAATACCCAGGAAATAAATCTCCTTACCTTTGTTTTGTGAGAAAAATAGAAAATTTTCTTTCCATTTTCCACTTCCTTGGTATATCAGGACCAGCAAATTTAGAAAAATTTGAGCTAGAGACATATAGACATTCTTTACTTGTATGAATAGAGGCCACAGCTACCAAAAAAAGTTTTGTTATTTTTTTTTTTGGTGATTGAACTCAGGACCTTGTGCTTGTGAGGCAGGTGCGGTGCCACTGAGCTAAATCCCCAGCCCTTAGTTTTGTTATTCTTTTGTACAGACATGTCTTATTTAGAATGTAGATACTAAATAACTTTTTTCTTTAATAGCTGTTCGATTTGGTCGTATTCCTAAGCGTGAGAAACAGAGGATGCTAATTGAAATGCAAAGTGCGATGAAGACCATGATGAACAGCCAGTTTAGTAGTCACTTGCAGAATGATACATTAATTGAACATCATGAACAGACAGCCTTACCTGCCCAAGAACAGCTTCGACCCAAGCCCCAGCTGGAGCAAGAAAACATCAAAAGCTCGCCTTCTTCCTCTTCTGATTTTGCAAAGGAAGAAGTGATTGGCATGGTGACCAGAGCGCACAAGGATACTTTTAT